ATCTATCAATCCAAAAACCTTCAGAGTCGAGCACACCCTCGATCGAATACTCGAACTGAACTCAATTCATGACTAGAACTCCAACCTGGTTCCTCAACTTCTGCTATCAGCACCAAGAAGACGTGTTTCTTATGCTGAGGAGTTTTACCGAACCCCCAACCGACACAACCCTCAAACCAAGCAACCACTGGGGCGTCCATTCTCCCTGTCGGGTTGTGAAACTTATCCCCGTTTCAAAACCTCTCCCGCTTCTGTATCCCGGGACGATTCTCCCCCACTTAGATTCGACTAAGTCTTCATAATACATGAAAATTGGAGAATTCCCAATCCTTCTCACTGTCCAACGATCGATCCGATAACAACCAACTCTTCTAACTAGCGCTCCAACTAATACATCGACGACGAGCTACTTCCTTTGGTGCTTTCGCCCGCCAACCCATGACGGTTACTAAAACCACTGAATCCTGACAATGCTGAAAATTAAATATAGTCTTCAAGAAAATTGGTTTTACCATACAAAAAGGCTTAGCGGCGCAACTTATTGCCCGTTTGCCTTCTCATTCATTGTATGATGATAACTAAGATGTATTCTCAGATTGATATATTTACCAATCTGTAAACCGGTAAAAAATAAAAATCGTAAAATGGTTAATTCATCTTTTTATAATTTTTATTTTAGTTCAAAAAAATAATCAAAAAAGAGGGTGTGATCGGATACAATCTTACTTGCGACTGCATGTCGTAATATCCGTCGTATCTAAAGTCGTTCGTTCGTGCTACCGAAGCTAAGATCGGAAAACCAACAACACTGGGCTTGAATCTTGAATAGAGTGCATCTGGGCCAACCCAGTGGAATCTGGGAATTAACAAAAAGAATCCAGAATCCAATAAACCCTCACCTCACCCTATATATACTCTTTCTCTTTCCCACTATCTCCACCGTTTCTTTGCTTCAAACGATCCGAGAGGTAGCTTCCAATCATGTTGGTTTATCAGGATTTGCTTACTGGTAATTCAATTCACTTATTCCATCTTTATTTTTATTCTATTTGATCGATAATCGATTCATAAAGGTTTTTGTGTCACTTCGTTGATTGAGAGTCAAGGGTTTATGACTACTTTTTAATAATTCTTTTGTTATTAAATCTGCTTTAGGTCCGTTTTCTTTATAGATTCTCTCTTAATTCAATTATGACGTTACATTATAAATAACTGAACTTTTGTTGTAAACATGCTTCTTGTTTATTTATTGCTGAAGCTCTTGGATACGTTATGTCTGAATCAGATTCTGTAGAATTTCATGATTAGCTTCTTTAGTTGCTCAATTATTCAAATCGTTAGTGATTCTGTGGAAAGCTTTAACCCTTTCACTGATAGCTAATTAATTTCTGGTTAGACTAAATTTCTAGCAAGATCTTTTATAATTTTTTTTTTCAGAACGAATGTGCTCTTGATCTAAATTTGATTATGTAACGTAGGTGATGAGCTTCTTTCGGATTCCTTTCCATACAAGGAGATTTTAAATGGGATTCTTTGGGAAGTCGAAGGAAAGGTTGGTTTTCAGTCTCCTATTCTTTCATCATCTTTGAAGCTATTATGATTTTATGGTAATGATTCATATTGTTTTCTTCTACTTTTACTCATACAGTGGGTTGTTCAAGGAGCTGTTGATGTGAACATAGGTGCAAATCCTTCTGCAGAAGGAGGTGAAGAAGATGAAGGCGTTGATGATCAAACTGTGAAGGTCGTTGACATTGTTGACACCTTCAGACTCCAGGTATAAAAAAAGTTTACTACTTTCAGTGATTATAAATTACATATTGACATTCCACTTTTTTAGTTTTTAATACTTTTAAATCACCAAAAAATGCAGGAGCAACCTCCATTCGATAAGAAACAGTTTGTTGGTTATATAAAGAAATACATCAAACAACTCACCCCAAAACTAGATGCTGAGCAACAAGAGTTCTTCAAGAAAAACATTGAAGCTGCAACAAAGTACCTCCTCTCAAAGCTCAGTGATCTTCAATTGTAAGTTTTTTTTTTTTTTTTTGCTCTGATTTATGAATGGAGTCCATATTTTTACATGTTGTTTAAAAACTTGGTGTTAATGGTATGTGTAGTTTTGTTGGAGAGAGTATGCATGATGATAGCAGCATTGTGTTTGCTTATTACAAAGAAGGTGCAACTGATCCAACATTCTTGTACTTTGGTGTTGGGTTGAAGGAGGTGAAGTGTTAAGAGTTTCTATTACTTTTATGTACTCTTAAAACAAGTATTCTAGGGTTAAGTTAAACAGTTAAAAAGTTTTGATTGTTACTGGTATTTTGAGTTCAGTTTTTTGTTATCTTGGAAGTGCGTGTTAGAAATGTTCTAGATTTATTGATTTTTTTTTGACAGCAATATAGTTTTTATCAAAGGGTTAAGTTAAGAAGTTAAAGATTTAGATTCTTACTGATATTTTGAGCCCATATTTCTAGACTTTTAATAGGAGTAAGAAACGGAAAGTGAATTGAATTGAATTGGGTGGCTTCTAAAAAAATATTTGTCAAGTAAAATCGCAATGAAAGAACAAGGGCAACCAAGAAAAATGTTGCAGATAAAAATATAAGTATAATCACATAATATAGTTAAGTAACTAAAGAAATAAAATATTATAATTTATAAATACTTTTTGATTCTCTGTAAATATTCGAACCCTTTACTATATTTTATAAACAAATTGGTGTAAATCTGTGTGGGACAAATTGCTATCATCATAACCACGCATCTTATTGATAAGTGGATAACACCTTCTTCATCATATTTGGGCCATGTGGTTGATTGTATTGCTTTGGTATTTTGGTTCACAAAGGTGAATCTTTTTATTATTTTGGTATTCATCTTGTTTTATCATCTTGTTTTATTTTGTTTTTGGTTTATGATACTATCATTCTCTTTTATTTTTAAACTAGGTGAATCCCCTGCATAGGAATATATTTATATTATTAACTAATAGCAAATATATTTAGTTAAAAATATTTAAGTTAATGTCATTAACTATAAATTAAACACTTTCTATTAATATTGTAAAAAAATAATTAGTATTTTTAAACCATATTACTTTAATTCTTATAAGATAACATATGTTTAACACTTAAATACATAAAATAAAATAACATGAATGATATTTGTCATAATAAATTTAACATCTTAATTAATAATTCGTTAAAAATATTTAAGTCATTATTATTAAGTATGAAATAAACATTGTCAATTAATATTGTAAAAACTAATATTATTCTTAAATCGTATTACTTGAATTCTCATAAGATAACATATGTTAAAACTTAGATATAATTTGTGGCAATTAATTTAATATTTTAATAAATAAAAAGACATTAAAAGTAATTTAGTTAAAACCTAGTGAATTATCAAATATTCATAACTTATACTATATTAATTAGAGTACTTACTAATTATAAGATATAAGTTAAAAAACAATATTTTTTTATTCATTTTGTAAAGTTTTTGCATAATACCGAATACTTTAATATAAATAAAACATATTAGTATAATATTTACAAACAAAAATATAAATATGCAATTAAGTTACAATTGAATAAAAGTCTCATAACTTACATGAAAAGTAATATCTGCTAAACCTAACAACTGTTCTGTCACTCAATAATAGTGTGAATAGTTCATACTTATAAATTTTCAAAGTTTGCTAGATCCAAGAGAACTCCCAAAATATTGATGCGGTTTGCCTCTTTTTTGCCTTGACTTTTTTCTTTATATGTTTCTACGAATGAAAATAAAAACTAAAAAAAATTATATTTCAGTCTAATAGTTATCGTGACTCAATACATTAAATACAACCATTTTATATTGATTAAAAAAAGATAACAAACAATATTGTGAATTATATCATCATGTTACATCTCTATTACAATTCGTAGGATAATGCCAATAAAATAATAATAATACCAATATAATTGTAGAAAACTCCGATAGAAAACTTGAAAATAATTTTATATGTTTCACATGCATCTTGACATCATATCCCTTCATATGATTTATCCACCTTTAATCTTTTTGTTTGGAATCTTTAATCTATCACACGACCACCCATAATTCTTAAAACTCTACCGCCATAATCTATCAATATAACCTTTATATATCTCAATATTAATTAATTGGTGTCATTAGTACAATTAACTATCATAAGTTAGAAAAACTCTTGAATGATTGTTATTAATTAGGTGAAAATTAAAGTTATCTAGGTTTCAAACGAATACGATGCAAAAGTATTGTATATCTTGAAAGTTAAAACACATTCATTTAGATGGTCTCTTTTATAAGATTTATAAAAATTCTTGTAAAATGAATTTTATTATTTATATCTTATATAACTTTTATTACTCACATATTAAGCAAACACAACCTCCACCCCACTCAACCCAATCTTCCCCCAAATCACATGGACCATCTGTCTAATTTACTTAAAAAATAAAAACATCACCACCATCACATTTGTTTCATGAGTCTTTGATCAACTCTAAAAGGATATTCGTGAAGAAGCAAAGGTAATGGGAAAGAGCTCACAAAAAGGATTAATAAATAAAAGAGGTGTGTTGTTGTCAGGGGACAAAACGGAAATAAGTCATCAAAATAAGGACAAAATAAGTTAAAGAATTCTTTATGTACTCGAACAAAAAAAATCAATAACACAAGGACCAATTTGTAGTTTACTCCATAGATAGATTTGAAAATAGAAGAGTAAGCAACGTTTTTGTCCATGTCTTTAGCTGATTTTCTTGGTTTTGTTCCAAAAAGAAATCCTTTTTTTTTCAATATCAAGCCACACCTAAAAAATGACAAACTTATTGGTTTCTTTTGAGCCAAAGCATATACGTATGCAACTTTCATCACCTCTAACAAACTACACAATTTATTTTCCAGAAACAAAAAGTGCAACATTCAATCTACCAAAAAGGCTGCAGGATTTATACATTAACCAATACCATAAAACAAATTAATACCCCACAACCCAAAAAAAAAAAAAACAAATTCAATTTTAGCAGAAAGAACCCCTGCAAAGAACTCACAAGAAATAATAAATTCAACATATACAAACAAAAGACAGAATCTTCCATTACCAATATTCAAGATCAGACCACAAGTATTATGATCACAATCAGAAGCACAATCCCTAAGATCACCATAAGCAAGCAAGTCTGCATGGATCAAATATCACACAATCAACATTTTTATAAAAACATATAAACTCAAATTCTTTCTTTTAATATAAAGAAAAAAGGTATACCATAGAAGAGTTTGATCTTTGAGTCTTTGATGCTTTAGCAAGATGGGATTTTCCCTGTAAAGTTGCAGCATGAGAGTTCTCAATGTTTGACCCAATATCATCTGAAACAAATTCCTCACATCACAAGTCACAACAATAAGATATAACAAAAAATTAAGAAATGAAAAAGGGCAAATGTGGAAATTATACTTACCGATCATAGTTCCTTGTTCATGAACCAAAACAGCAAGATCTTTAAATATTTCATTCACCTCACCAATTTGGTTCTGAATTTCTTGTATTCCCTGATCTCTTTCCTCAATTATAGCCTCATTGAATGCAATCTCATTGTCCAATAACAACACTTCCTGTCTGCTAATATACTAACAATAATTTAATTATAATAATAATAATATATATTAATAATGGGTGAAAGCAGAAAACTTGCCTTCTAGATTGGACAAGAAGGGCATGCTGTTCTGGACTTCTGCCTGAGCTTGCATCCACTTCACCGGCTTCATTACTGCAGATCATTTGCAAAAACTTAGATTATTTGTTCATTCAGCCACATCATAAGGGCAAATTTGGTAATTGAAGTTTTAAAGGCAACTAACCGTGAGGAATGAATAGCTTGAGGAACAGCAGGAGAGTAAGCTGTCTCTCTTTCAGCTGCAAGGCGTTGTGCTTTTTGAAATTCTTTTAAAACTGCTTGAAAATCTTTAGCAAGTTTAGCATCTGTTATCTTTTTGCTGGCCTGTATAAAAATGAAACATTCAATCACCACAAGTTTACACAAATTCTAAGACTATCGTGTGAATTTGAAAAACTACAACATAAATAATCTTGAGGATCGATCATGTGTCTAAGGGGAAGAGGGAGTTTTACTTACACTAACTTCAGCACGATGATCTGTTTCACTGGCTTGCTTAAGTTTTTCAGATGTATCCTTCACCAGTTGCCCAATATGTAGTCTTGTTTTATGCCTACCATTCAAAGAGAACTCAGAGTCAGAAACCCCAAAACCAATACTCAATATTGCACATAAAAAGACATGAAGATTCTTGAATAAAGTATTGTACTTTAACATGATCTCATCGTTCACCTAAAACTCCATAGATTTTTCATAAATTCTGCTTTTTTTATAGTTTATTTAGCTTCAGGAAATCCGTGATTACCAAAAGCTCCCACTATGAATGTATGATCATGTTGAAATGGATCATTTCTCATTCAAATTGCTATCAAGAGCTAATCCCTTATGATCTAAGCTTATATCATATTGCTTTACTCGACAGTAGAATCCCAGCTACACAAACTATGATCAAATATCATTTCGTGACATAATTCGATTATAAAAACTACTGACCTGAGCCTAATTATACACCAAAACATGTATATGAGTCAAAAAAACAGATACTAAAATGTTAAATAGATACCAGCTTCGAAACCCTAAAATGACCGTAAACGAAAAAGGAAAATTCAATCAGACGTACAGCTTTTCACGGAGCTCGGGGGTGTCTTTAGGGGTACCAAGAGTATTTACTAGCCTCTGAAACGTAGAGACAGCAGTATTGATCTGGAAGATTCCAGAAGCAATAGCTTGGGTTGGGTCTTGTGGCTTCATGCCCGTGTAGCCCGCGCGTCGAGAATTGAGCGGGCGACCCGCTTCAATATCTTGAAAACTCATATTAAATCCCTCGAATGAACCCTAAATTGAACAATTTTGATTTCAATTATGGAACGAAGAACAATTCCAATCGGGACAGAAACTCTACCGATCCGAGAAGGGAGTGATCGTAAGAGAGTGAAACTGAAGGTTAATCGGAGGTTGGGTTGGTGAAAGAAATGGCAACAACTGATGTGGGAGAATTCAAAGGGGCCCGATGATAATTTAGAGGTGAAGGGGATGTGATGGGGAATAGCCAAAAGGAGGCACAGGGTGTCGACTGCATATAAGAACTTGTTTTAAAAAAAATATATCATGTTTCACTTTCTATGTCAAATTAAAAAAGGGATGATAATGATATATTCACCACATCTTTTATGACGGAACTAGAAAAGATTCACCGACGTTGTCGGGGTCGGAATGTATTGCTTTGTAAACTAAAGTAGCATGTTGGTTGCTTTTTGTCCGTTAATGTGAGGGTAATTTGGTCTTTTCAGGTAGTAGGGACTGAATTTGTCACCATGGGTAAACCATATGGACCATTTATGTAATTTTGGCGGTGGTGGTGGTGGTGGTGATGGCAGATGGTTGGTGGGTTTATGATATTGGGTGAGTATTTTCTAATAAATAAAACATTAATTTAAAACCAAAAAGAGAATGTTAAATCTGGTAAACCACAGGGACCAATCGTGTAATTTTGTCTAACAATAATAATAATAATAATGAGGGACCATTTCTGCCAAAAGACTAAATACTAATAATATGAAATAAAATGCGAGCGTTATGAAAAATTCAAACCAAAGTGAAAGGGTTGTTTGTGAACAAAAACATAAAGATGATGGGTCAATGTTGTAAGTTGGAGGACCAAAATTGACAAAAAATAGTGTCACTTTACTGTTAAAACTTTTCATAACTTTAATATATATATAATAATATAACAAAATTGTTATAAGTATGATTTTCACAAACCAAAACATTTTTTTTTGGTAGTTATTTGTAAACGTCGTTCCATACGAAAAACAGGTTCGGAATGATGTTGTTTTTTAGAAAATACATGAAAAACCTTTAAGCGTCTCTACTCCCACAAATAATGTTAGTTTTGTAGAAAATATGTTGTGTATGAAACTTAACTTTTGTGTTATTTGGTAGCAAATGCCTTAATTTATAAGAATTGCTTGTAAAAATATTACTAATAACTCAAAAGAAACATAACAACTTAATTGAAATTAATACTTACATATTTCAACTAGAAATGAAGGCCTATATGTTATTACAATTTTCCTAGGATGACACATGTAGGTTTAATAACAATTTATCGAATCAAAGATCTACAAACGAATATTTACTTATTGGACGATAACAACTCACATGAAATATTAGTTTCTAACACACTTTCATCTGAGATGTCATCGAACCAATAAGCAGATACAAATTTAAGAGTGTTTGGTAATTTTGTTATCTCTTTTACCATTGCAATGTTTTGTCTTGTTTCCCCAAAGGCATCTCTTGGTTCGATAAAAACATGATTGTTTTGATGAACAAATTTTCTCAAAAATACTGGAAAAAACTTACCCGTCTTTGGTGCCCCAAAAATAACTTTATGATGACAATATCCTGTTAGAAATTTATAAAATATTCTATTAACAATGAGGTTTTCCTAAAATATGCTAAAAACACTAGTGGTCCTAAATATGGTGAAGTTAAAACATGTGTATGTTGTTGGAGCACGACATTATATTTATCATCATTTTGTGCATAGTGCTTCCAGTGATGACCTTTTTATTTCTTTTCCTTAAAAAATTCAGGCCAAATTGTTCTCTGACAAATCAATTTTTTAAAAGAGAAGCCAAATCTTATTTACTGCGCAAGTGTTCAATTAAAATGATAACAATAACATGCTTCATCTAACTAATAAATTTACCACTGGAAAGCTAGATAAAGAAGCTTCAAAAGCATCTGAACAATCAATCGAATATACAAAATCCATGACAAGCTTCAGAAAGAACAATTAGGAGAATATACAAATCCATCTGAAACACTCAAGTCCAATGATTTTTCACTCACTGGTTCTAGTTGTTCATCATCATCCATTGCATTATATCATTCCGAATCACCCCATCCAACTGAAATCGTCTGTAGTGAGTAGTATTAATTCCAATCTGTGGCCTCATCATCATACCAATACTTGGGTATGGTGAATGCCAAGTTTTTCTTGAAGTAAACAGATGCTTATTGTTTCTTGTTTCATGGCTCTGTGGAGGTAGTTTTTGGTGTAAAGAGTTGGTTGAATAGCTTTTGGTTGATGTTTTCTGTGGATTACTATTATTATTATTATTATTATTATTATTATTATTATTGTTGGATTTGGAATTGGAATGGGAATTGGAATTAGGATGGGAATGGGAATTGGGATGGGAGCGTATCTGGGCAGCCGGTTTCATTTTGTCAAGCCATCTGAGGATCCAATTACCAAGATTTCTACCAACTTCAATGTCTCTTTGTTGTACCTCACGATGAACCTTTAGTGCCACATCAAATATGGATCTTGTTTTCCTATATCATATAACAAACAAAGCAAACTAAGCAACAACAACAACTTGATTTAGCTAATCTGATAATAAAAAATAAGCTTCTTCTCATGGATACCAAGTATAACAGGTTCACTAAGTCTGTTCATCAGATTTATAGATGCATAAACCAAAATGGCACATTCAAGATAATGAATTCTCCATATAAGCCGTGATGTGTATATGAGGCCTAAAGCAAATATCGTAAGAAGAAATGAATTTAGAAACAGATGGAAACGAAACCCCAAAATTATCTGTCATACTCCTCCTATGCAATTCCTTGTGTATGATCAAAATTAATTAAAGCAAACTACATCGATCAATTAAATTCGAGAACAAGTAGAGCATATTAGTCAAAGCTGATCGAAAGAGCGAACAAATCACATACATATACAACATATATATTAATATATGTATAGGCAGAGATAGAGATGAAGATACCTTTGAAGGAATTGACGGATCTTTGGGCGTTTAGGACCAACAAGACGTCGTTGTATTCTCAGAGCAAGCTTGTATGTCCTCTTCAATCCCAAAAAATACGCCGTTCCCAACGTGATCTCCCACAGCACCATTGTTCCTCTGTGTTGATATGTGTAGCTGTTTTGTATGTAGTACAAAGCTAGGGTTAATTCTCCGTGAAACTGAAAGATATGAATATATATCATATGTATGAAATTGGAAACATCAGATCATGACATCCGAACGCAGTTTTTGCCATTTTCGTTTCTTGCAGGTCGGATAAATTAACGAGGTGGAAAAAAGCCCACAGAAAGTTCTCGTGTCCCTTTGCTACCCAATTTTGTTCCTAAAAGGATATCAGTTTTGAACAATTTCATACTCCTCATTTCACATGTTTGATATTTGATTATCTTTTATTAAGTACTTAATTTTGATAAGAAGACAAATTTAGTTTTTCTTTTTTCTTTGTTTTTTTTTAAGAAATAATCGAAAAACTTAGAAATTATTTGTGTAGACATTCAAATCATAGATGGACCTATTGGTATGTAATTTCGTCATGTGAGCTGTTATTTTGGGGTTACACCTACGATTTCATCTAATGTATAAAACACAAAAAATCGAATTTTGTCGTTTTGGTATGATGAGATCGTAAACTACATTGACCATCCATGATTTCCTGTGCCTCCTCTCGATTTTCCTCCATTTTCATTTGTGATTTACTCTTATCAATTGAGATCATAAAAATGTGTAATGGATAAGGTTATGCATAACACTTATGTAAAAATGAGAATAACTTCTCACATCATTAAATATTATGGGCTCATGGGCTCGATTCATTACAAAATCACAGTCATAATTGAAATCGCAATTCATTATGGCTAAATTGTAGTCCATTTAGTGATATCTGCGATTTCAGCCGCTATTTGGTTGTTTATTAGTTTTTTGCTATTTTTTAGAAGATAATTATAGAATAAGGCTAAAATTTTCTTTACATTTTTCTTTTCTATTTTATTGTTTTTATCTTTTTTTATTTATTTTAAAATTTAAGTACTGTAACTCATTTAGATTGTGATGACTTGGTAAGACATGTGAAAGATATGAAGAGTAACATATTGATTTATGTTCAAATCATGACATTATTCAGTCTCTATGACAATAGAAGTTCATCTGTAATGACTCCCGGACATAAAGTTATGTAACATGGATTAGTTGGTTGACAAAAGTTGGACCGGTAACCCTTGTTAGGGAACTTCCTTTCATTCAAAAAAAAAATTAAGTGTTGTAATTTAACAACTAGTTGGTACAATTTTTTATAGAATAGATATTATAAAAAAAATAGTATGGTGTCAATATATTACGAATTGTATAAAACTATATCAACAACTTATATGTATCGTTCTATCAACGGGTATTCAGAAAACTAAAATGTAAAAATGATATGATTTATTTAATAATATTTAATAACAGTAATTGTCTAGCTGATTGTAAGATAAAGTAACCATCAATCTACTCTAATAAATGAATGTTTTTTTGTCACACGTCACACTCTCATTCAATTTGCCAAATGTCATTTTGTGGTTATTTTGAATTAATTTATTTTCCACATGTCATTTTATGAGTTTTTCTATTTTAATAAATTATATATAATACTTTAATTTAATAATTACAATAAATGTAGTAATAAATGAATATCAATTTCATTAATGGATTTTCCTTTTTATTTCAAAATTCCCAAATTAAAGCCCATTAGTTTATTTTGTTTATTTATTTAAATTTAAAAGATAAAAAAATCAATTTTAATAATTCATTATTTTTCTTATTTTTTATAAATCCAAAGTTTTAAATATTTTAGACTTTTATATTTAATTTTTTTAATTAACTCATGTAATACATTGATCTTACACTTAGTTTTGTAATAAATTGTATTCTCAATTGTTAAATTGTCTCTAGCATGGTTCCATCATTGTGAAAGTAGAAAGTATATTGTTTCTATCGTTTCTACTTTCACTGTTCCACAATATATAATACATTTTCTACTTTCACAGTTTCAGAAATCAATTTTGCAATTTACAAGCTACAATATGATCCATTATAAAAGTTCATGATAAATCTGTTTAAATAGTTAAAATAAAAATCAATTTGTTAATGAAACATATTATTTTTGGTATATGTAACTTTTAAATTGTAAGAAATGTCTAAATGATAGTTTTGGTCTCAATATATTTTAACTTACCTAGGGGTGTAAACGAACTGAACGTTCAGCGAACTGTTCGTGAACCGTTCGGCGGTAAGTTCGCTTATGTTTGTTTATTTAATAAATGAACGAACATGAACATAAATTCTCGTTCATTTAGTTAAACGAACGAACATGAACAATAGTCTCGTTCGTTTAATTATGTTCGTGAACATTCTTTTACGTTTGTTTATGTCCGTTCATATAAGTTCATTTTATATTCATATACGCTTAATTGTATTTGATTACATTACTATATTATATGTTCATTTATGTCCATATATGTTCGAATTATGTTTGTTTATCTTTGTTCATTTATGTTCGTTCGTTTATATGTTCATTTAGCATGTTCACGAACATAAACGAACGAACATGAACAATGCAATTTATTAAACGAACGAACATAAACAAGAAAACTCGTTTGTTTGTCCGTTCGTGTTCGTTCATTTGTTCGGCTAACTTAAACGAACGAATATGAACAAGCATCGCTCGTGTTCGTTTGGTTCGTTTACAGCCCTAATTACTTACATGCACGATTTACAATTTTGATCCTTATATTTCTTTTTATATAAAGGGTCCCTGCATAAAAAAAATTGTATAGTTATCGACTTATCTCGTTAAATATGACATAATTATAGAGATGGTCATAATTATATAATGGCCCTAAAATATGAAAAACAAAATATTACAGAAATGGTTATTATTATATATAGAAGCTATAATATACTAGTTGTATAAAATAAAAATATATATTTTAGACCGGAGGGTGTGGGTGAGAAGTTTCCATCACTTTTTCTCTGTCACGTCATCATTTCCCTCACTAAAATCCAATAAATTGGTGGGAAGCTTCCCTCACTATTTGTTTTTTTATCTTTTTAAATAAAATTAATTCATTTTTATGATTTATAATTTTTAAATTAATAATAAACATAAAATTTAATTAAAAATAAAAAGCATTTCATTAGATAAAATAAAAATTACATTAAACCTAATATTTAAATAAGTAGTGGGGGGATAGAAAATTATAATGAAATATTAGGTTTAATATAATTTTTATTTGAACAGCCAATCAGGAGTGGAGTGAGAATGCGGCAACCCCTCCCCCCACTTCCTCCCGCGCCTCCTATCCCGCACACCCGGTGCGGTGTTCATTGGAGCGGGAAACGTCCTGCCCCTCCTTCCCGCACTGGCTCCGTCCGGCCTTACAGCTTATACTTTATACTTTAATATGATATTTTGGTAATATCATTTTGGGAAATTGACTTATTAAGATGATTAAGTTTTTGGTTTAGTTCACATTTGGGTAACTATTTTTTTGTACACATCTATGTAGCGAACTTGTTGGAAGTGTTCACATGTGACAATTATGATCGGCTATAAAAAAAGACGTTACATCCGGTCATAGTGGTCATATGTGAACACTTTCAACAAGTTCGTTACCTAGATGTGTGTCACACCCCCGAACGAGACGGTGGAAACGTCTGGGGGCTTGGGTGACTTCATTTTTGTAATATCATCACAGTGTATATAATTGAAACCAAACATCATCATCATCACACATGTAATATTACAACTGTCATTGTTTACATCAAGTATTGTATCTTAATATTACATGCCAAAATATTCAAATATAGTACTAACAAAACACAACAAAGTATTCAGGTATTCTTGCTGACCAACCTGCTCAACGATTCCCTGAGAATACAAGTTAATTTAAAAAGATCAACATATATAATGTTGGTGAGTTCATAAGCATGTTTTGAGTAAAATGTTTTGTATTGCTTTGTAAACACCAGAAAATCCGATATTTTCTGAAAACGGTTTGAAATGTTTGTGTCAGATCTTGTATTAATGCATGTGTGTTAATGTTTGTGAGTGTATGAGTGAATAATTCCAGACAACCCGATGTTGTCTGTTTATAAAAAGACGTTGTGATTTCATTACCCTAAAACTGAATACAAATGAGTGTGTGTTCCCGTATTTTCGACAGATGTTGTATTCCGTAAATTTCATAATGGTGTTAATTCCTCTAAGTGAGTCGTTATAATCATACATGATAATGACTAATCCGCCTGTCATGACGTTTTTCGACGTCGACGAGTTGATGGTAAAGTTTGTCACCCTAGACTGGCCTAGTCTAACTGTAGCGAACAGCTCAAGTGTGGGGTGTCACCCCCGAACCAGACGGCGGAAACGTCCGGGGGCTCGTGTGACTAACAATTGAATAATCATCACAATGAATATACATGAAACATAACACATTCATCACCAACATTACATAATACAACCATCATTGTTCACATCAAGTACATTTTTAAAATACATAAGTTCTAATTGTTCAAAGTACGATAAGTGATATTACATAAACAAAACCATACACACTTGCATATCTTCCAGCTTAACGATTACCTGAGAATACAAGTTATTTTGAAAACGGTCAACATATATAATGTTGGTGAGTTCATAAGTATATTTGAGTAAAAGTCTTTGTTTCTTTCATGAAACCCAGAAAATCCGATATCTTCTGAAAAATGTTTTGAAAATGATGTGAAAATCGAGTATAAATGCATGCGTGAATTTAATAGTTAAAAACTTGTATGGGTATAGTTTAGGTTCATTGTATTTTGAATAAATGATAAATGTATATGAATAATCTCTCCAAAAAATCCGATATTTTTTGTTTTATAACTTCGTTTAGATTTTTGTATCGTTAGATAAGTCATTTTGTATTAACACAATTAAAGAATTTATCTTCAAACGGTTATCTTTTGGTATTGAATCCCTTTATGAGCTGTTATAACCATACATAATAATGACTAGGTCGCCCGTCTTGGTATTTTTCCAAATGCCGGTCTTGACTAAGGATGTTGTCGCCCTAGACTGGACTAGTCTAGCTGTAGCGAACAGCTAAGGCGTGGGGGTCACCCCGTATAGACCTATACACAAACTCCCGCTTTCCTACCAGGAAACTCTGATTATAACTACAGGCTACGATTGTACACTCAGAGGTGCCAACCGACATGTCTCACCAGATTCTTAACCCCTTTTTGTTCTATGTTTAACGTTTACGTATGTGTAGTATGTTTTTGTATTCGAAAGGTACATATAAAGGTATTCGACATTTAATGAT